TGCTCCTCTCGTGGGTATACCTCCACCTGCCGCGCTTCATCGCGAGGACGCGGCGCTGCACCAGCTCGTGCATGCTTGTTTGGGCACTAGGGTCACAGCCGAGCGTGTCAGCCTTTCGGCTCCCCGCTCCGTCGGTGGGCTTGGCTTCCCCCTTGTCTCGGAGATGCTTGTCGCTGCCACTGCCTCCGACCTCCTGTGCCTCCTCAACGGGTCCTCTCAAGCCGCGCAGCTGGCCAGAGACTCCCTGAAGCAAGCCTTGGAGTGTGCCCCCAACGAGCTCGGGGCTCACGACGGCCTTGTCACTAAAGCAGTCCAGTTCCTGGCGGGGTATGGCCTGTACCTGAACGTCTCCACGGACCGCTTTGTGTGCCGCGTGCTAGACTGCCTCGCCCCTCCCACCACGCACCCCCTCGTAGGCCCCTTCCAGCCTGCGTTGTTTCAGTCGTCGGCCCGTTTCGCCCGGGTTGGGGTGCTGGCAAACTCCATCCGTACGGCTTGGGTGTCCTTAGTGCGCTCAGGCACTCCTCAGGATGCTTGGAGCCAATCTGCCACGTGGGCCGCGGTTCTCCCGCAGTTCTCCCCCGTCTCTTCCCAGGAATGCGCTCGGGCGGCTGCTTCGGCCCTGTCTCAATCCCGCGCCGACTGGCAAACGGAATGCTTGTTATTCCAAACCGGCCCCGCTCCGGATCTTCCTGAAGAGTGGTCATCCTCTTCCTGGCTCTCCCCGTGGGCCACGGACTCTGACCCCCGCTCAATGCATCTTTTGCATCAAGTGGCGGTCCCTTGTTCGGAGGACTATGGCCTTTTCGGTGACGGTAGTTACTCCCGCTTGCGCGGTGCTTCCTTCTGCTGTCAAGCTCGCGGCTTTGGTGCTTCCGGAGATTACTGGGATTCCTCCGCGTGGGTTTCCAGTCAGCACTCCGGGCGCCTCCCTTCTCGCTTTGGCTGGGAGGACTGTACCGTGCACACCGCAGAGCTCTTCGCCTTGGTCTGCTCCCTGAAATTTCGCAGTCCTGGTCGCTGGCACCTGCTCGTTTTTGATCGCAGCGCCTTGTTCACGGCCTTGCAGGTGGCAGCTGATCGTAAGACTCCCTCGCTGCTGGCGTCCTCCTGCCAACCCCTGATCTCCCATCTGCTCCGTCTCCTAGCCTTGCTTGACCGTGCCTGGTCTCCGCCTGGTTGCAAGCCGTCCTGGCGCCTTCACCAGGAATCCTTCCCCTCTCACTGGAACTCGTCGCTTCCTCTCCGAGGCAAACTCCGTCACTTCTCAAAAATCGCCTTCCACCAGGCAGGTGTGGTGGGGGTGGATATCCGCAGCCACCAGGCCAGTTCGGCGCTGCCTTTTCCGGTGCTTGTACAGGGTAATGAAGCTCAGGATGCCGGCTGTATTGCGGCCTCACGGTCCTTGCCCCTCCCACCGGACATTCGGGTTCCCAGCGGGGGTCCTTTTGCCTGGTTCTCACATGAGGCCCGTATGGTTACGTCGCCCATTCGTGTACATGTGCGGGAACTGCTCCGCAAACAGAGCACCAGTGAATGGTGCAAGCGCCCGGTCCAGGGACTCATCCCCAGATTGGCTGCTCACATTTTCTGCCCCTCCCTGGACCCATCCCTTTACACGCAGTGCTCCTTCCCAGACGAGTGGGGTCGTTGGCTCCTCCCTTCTGACTCACAGCCCTTGGACCTTTCCTCCTTTGTCTACCGCTTGCAGCGCGCGGTGGGAGGAAGCTGGACGGAATGGCTACACACCCATGCTGACATCCGGGAAGTTGCTACCACTTGGGCTGCCCAACATGCCTGGGAGTCTTTCAGGATGTGCCCCCTTTGTGCCTCCGGTCCGGGCACCCCTCGCCATGTCATTATGTGCTGCCCGGCAATGCGCCCCCTCATGACTCAGGTCCTGAATGCAGTGGAGTCGGCGCTGTGTGCTGTGTCAGACCGAGATCGCCTTCTCAACGCTGCCTCAATCTGGCGACGCGAGTCGCCCACTACTCCTCCCCCCCCGCCTGAGGCCGATACTTTGCGCTGGCCCGTGCTTTCTGCTTGGCGTTGGCTGGTTCCCAACCCTGTCCGGGAGCATTCATTGGCAGAGGGTGGTCACGCCAGCAGTTCGGGCACTGCTCTCCGTGAGCAAGGCTCAGACCTTGGTTACCGGGGCATCCTCCCCAAGCAGCTGGGTCGCTCTCTCTGCAGCCTTTCGGCTTCCTCCCTGGAAGAGCTGGAGGCTCGTGACTGGGAGCTTTACGCATCCCTCAGGGACGGGGCGGCCTTGCAGTCTGAGCTCCGGGTTTTGGCTCAACGCCATCGTGCCCACCTCCCCGCCACTCTCCTGTGCCAGCGCCTGGCCCTCTGCCTCCGATTTGTGCGTGCAGAGTACCTACAGCGTATTGAGGTCTGGGCCAAACTTGCGTCGTCTTCTGTGTCGCTCGCCCCGCCCCCTGCAGACCCACTCCCGGCCCAAGCCGCTCCTCCTGCACCTCCTGCGGTAGCAACTTGGCTTGCTTCCACGCCTGGTGCTGTCCTTGCCTCAGAACTGCGCTGGGCCCTCCTCCCGCGCGCAGCCGCCGTCTCTCGCCTGCGTGCAGCCCACCCGAGCAGCCACTCCCGTGATGAGACTCTTGCAAGTTGCCTGCAGCAGGCTGGTGTTCCTTTCCTCCTCCACTCGCTGCCCTCCTGGGGCCCCACAGCCCCAGCCTGGTCTGATCTGCAGGCCGGTATGTCCTCTCACTGCCGCTGCCCACACGTCGCTCCCTCTCTTGCTGTATGTTGGACTTGCCGTGGGATTGCTCTCCCCCCGCCGCCTCAAGTCTCACTGCCTTGTCCATGGTGCCCTCGTCGGTCCGGCCCCTCCTGTCCGTCTTGTCACCGCCGCCTGCATTTCAAGGGTGAGTGTCGTTGGAACCGTGGAGCCCACCCTGCCTTCCGTTCACCAGCAGATGCTCCGCAATTATGCCCTGACTGCTGCTGGGTCTGGTGCCGTGCGCTGATTGCGCTGCCCACTCGGCACGCGGACCCTTTGCCTCCCACCGTTGAGCTCACCGCTCACCTGCAGGCAATCGCAGCAGCTTGCCTCCCAGGGGCCGGTTCCGCCTCCACACCTGCTGCTGCTCTCTCGCTGCGCAGTGTCCGCCGCTGGCTCCTGCGTCATCTCCGCACGCACGGGCCTGCCTCACTTGATGACCTGCTGCCGGCCCTGTGTGCCTGGGCCCCGGATTCTGCAGCAGACTGGCACCTCAGCGTCCTCCGCCGTGCCGCGCGGGCACTGCAAGCTGAAGGCCGAATCTCCTTCTCCAACCAGCACCTGCGACTGCTCGGCCAGTCATAAGAAAAGGTCCGTGCCTGTGCCTTTGTCTCTCTGTGTGGGTGTGGGTGTGTGTGTGTGTGTGTGTGTGTGTGTGGTTTTTTTTTTTTTTGGTTTCTTCTTTCTTTTTTTCTTTTCCTTCTTTGTCCCGTTTTGGCTCTCCCCCCCCCCCCCCCCAGACCCCCTTTTTCGCCGCGAATCGGGTGGTCTGGGTAGCCCTTGTCCCCCCTCCCCTCTGCTAGTTGCGAGTCAGCGCCTCCGTCAGCTCCGGTCCCTCTGTCAGCCCCCTATTTCCCCCCTCGCCGTGTCTCCTACGGTCTATAGGCTGCAAGTCCTACCCCTCCCTCTCTTCCCTCTTCCCCGTGCTCACTCCACCGGTGCCACCGGCCCCCTCCCCTTGTCTCGCGTGTACCAGGCGAGGCCTCCTTGCCCTCCTCTCGCTTCGTTCTGTTCCCCCCTCGCCACGTTCCGTTGGCCTTGCTTGAGATCCCCCTGTGCCTCATTCCTCCCTTCCAGTTGTGTTGCACTGCCGCTCGCCCGTCCTCCTCCTCCCCCTCGTTTTCCCTGTTCCCCTGTTCCTCCATGGTTTCTGGGTGGCCCGTTTTCTCCCCCTGGCCAGGGCCGCGTGTCTCGCCCTCCCCCCCTTCCTCGCTGCGTGGGCGTCGCTGTCTCCCTTTCCTTTTCCACCTCCTTCCGCTCTTCTTCGTTCCCCCCCCTTTCTTTTTTTTTTTTTTTTTTTTTTTTTTTTTTTTTCTCTCTTCTCTTTCTTGTTCTGGTCCTTTTTGGTCTGGACGTCCTGTCTTGTGTTCCTCGGCTCTCTCCCCCCTTCCCCCCGTCCCTGCTCACCCGCTTGCGCCTTGGCTGCACTAGTCTAATTCCCTCACTTGAACTCTCCGCGGAGGGCTGCGATGACGCTTCCGGAGCGGTCCTGAGATGCGGGGGGGGAAGTGGGTGGCCGGCTGCAGCTACTGCTGCTAGCCTTTCCTCCTCCTCCTCCTTCTATTTTAAAATGCATAAAATCCTTAAAAAATAAAATCAGAGGCCGAATTTATTTTTTAAGGATTTTATGCATTTTAAAATCGAATAAAATCCTTAAAATCCTTAAAAAATAAATTATTTTGATTTTATTTTTTATGGATTTTAAGGATTTTTAAAAATTTAAATCGTTTGGGGCTTCTCCTAAAACCAAATTCGGCGCCTCGGATTTTATTTTTTACGGATTTTAAGGATTTTCTTCTATTTTAAAATGCATAAAATCCTTAAAAAATAAAATCAGAGGCCGAATTTATTTTTTAAGGATTTTATGCATTTTAAAATCGAATAAAATCCTTAAAATCCTTAAAAAATAAATTATTTTGATTTTATTTTTTATGGATTTTAAGGATTTTTAAAAATTTAAATCGTTTGGGGCTTCTCCTAAAACCAAATTCGGCGCCTCGGATTTTATTTTTTACGGATTTTAAGGATTTTCTTCTATTTTAAAATGCATAATATCCTTAAAACATAAAATCCCAGAAGTCCTTGAGGTCGAGGCCAAGCGCAGCGCCAAATAGACCCTAAAGGTCCTACGTACTGCGTACCATAGGCATACAAGGGGCCCCTAGGTTCGAGCCGCCGTGTAGCGGACATCACATGAGGCTTTCAGGAAGGGCTATACATCTGGACTTTCACAGCCCGGTCAAATCTCTTTCCTGAAAGACTATCGGCGGTTGTAACCTAGTTGCTTCCGCTCTTCGAGCTTCTCTTCCAGGGCTTCGGCTTCACTCACAATTTGATATTCGCCCGTCATCAGGAGGTCGTACAACGCCGCCATGTTCGCATTCTTCTTCGTCAGCCCATCCACAATCATGTGAGGGTGAGGCACCCATCGAACACGGCCCTTGATCGCATTCATATTCTGTCTCACCACTTGAATCTCCAGGCATGTCCTTTTGTCCTGTGAGGGTCCGGTGCTTTCACGGGACAGATGATCGTACAGAGCTTTCGCGTCAATGATGCATAGACTCTCCTTCAGCTCCTTCTCTGTCTGGCTTTTGGCGATTGCCACGATCTTGTTCTGCTGTAGATGCTCCTCCCATTTCGCCAGCTCAAATTCCGGGTCGGTCAACTCGTTGAAGATGGAGACAATCCAGCAAAGCTCACCTAGCCCCTTTGACAAGGCTTGCGTCTCAGCTGCCAGCGTCGAATTCACCACTTTGTGAATTCTTCCACTTCGCCACGAAACCAACGAGCAAGGTACTCTTCGCCCTCGCTGTAAGTCTTCATGAAAGGCGATGACACCATAGGCACCCTGACTGTTGCCCCCATAAGCATTTGCGAAGCTAGCATCCGAAACCACTCCCCATGCCAAGCTTTCGAAGGGAATCGCCCTGATCTTGATCGCCAGCGCCGGATTTGTCTTGATCAGGTGCACCGCTTTGTTGACGTCAATCAAGTCCTGGATCACCGGCTTGGGAAAGGTCGCCGCCCCCAGACTGGCAGCAGCCGCCGCATCTGGTCGTCCCTCTTTGGCCGCCCAGTTCAGAGCACCAATCACTGCTCTCATTTGCGCAATCTCGCTGTCATTGGCCAGAGCTTTGGGATCAGCTTTTCTTCCCTTGGCCATACTAATTGGCTCCAATCGTTCGCCGATGAACTTTTCCATGTCAACCTCAAAGTCGAAGTTTGCCAGCTGCTTCACTCGCCTTCCGTTGAACCCAACACCTTGTTCAGCTTCCTGAACCATGACAAACTTCCCGAATCGAAATCGCTCACGAAGTTCCGCGATCTTTTTGTAGTGCTCCTCATCACCGAAGGTAAACAGATCGTCCACCTCCACAGCAATGGCTCCACGTAGTGTCTGCTTCCCTGGGAGAAAGTAGACTGTTGGATCCAGCACCGATTCTCGGTATCCAAGAGCCAATATCGCTTCCTTTAGAGTTCGTCTCCAGTGAATTGGCGCATCGCCAAGTCCATAGCATCCGGCAACAATCTCCACGAGCTGCTCGTCGTGTAGACCCTCGATCCCTGATTTTGGAAGACTAGCGTACAGCTTCCCTTGCTTTCTCACGAGTGGCAAAGACTGGCAGAAAGCATTCTTCAAGTCGCCCACACTCGCCTGATACTTGAGGGATGCCGCAACCTGGAGAAGCACTCCGAAGCTGGTGCTATTGAGCGTTGGTGCGTAACGATCCAGCTCCATAAGATCTGGATCTCGGTCTCCACGAATGCACCATCTCGATTTCATCTGAGGAGGCTCGCCTGGTTGCTCGGCTGGCTTCCACCGTCGAACCATTCTGCTGGCCTCGGGCTCTGAGATCTGCTCGAACTGCCCTTGATTCTTCAAGACTGAGAACTTTGATGGCGTCAGTGCTTGCCACCTTACACCATTCTTGAAGATCTGATTCGCGCCAAGCAGGCCATTCATGTGGCTTGATCTCGTGCTCAAACACCTCGCCCTGACCTCGAGTTTTGGTGGCCATGTAGTCGTGAATGTTCACTTCAGTCGAACTGAAAACAGTGAACCCAACCCAGCTCTTCTTCATATCGTTAACCTTCTTTCTTTGCTTGAACCAGTTGTCGTTGTAGGTGTCCACCGTGCCATCCTCCATCACCATGTAGGTTTGACGATGTTTCAGTCTTCTTGGCATCAGAGCTCCTCGGATCTTCGTCGGATTACATAGACGCCTGCGCGGCTCGTAATGTCTCCTCACCACAACATTGCGACTCACGTCCTCCCAGCAGTCTAGATCAACTTTCCATCGACCATCTTCTGCATAGAACCATGCCTGCGATGAAGAGCTTGATTCTTGCTTGGCATAGTATGGAGAACTGGGAGGTCTTTTGCTCATCAGTCTGCGAGTGGCTTCATAGGGTGCACTTCCCGGTGGATGTCCATCCATTTGTTGATTCCGTAGCACAGTCTGCACTGTCTCTGGAGAAAGTTCTTGTGCACCACTTGACATCTGTCGACTGGGCGCAGGCTCTGGCTCTTCCTCTGAAGACTGCTGCCTGACATTGGTGGATGTTGGTGAATGTCCCGCTTGAGGTACTGGAATTTGCTCTTGAACACTTTCATCGATCGATGGCTCATATTGCGCCAGCTCTTCCTCATCGTAAGGTCCTTCTGGCACTGGCACATCTTCTGGAAGTAGTCGTGGTCGTTGATGTGCCCTTTCTTCGGGATGCCAGTCCATTCCTCCTCGAAGTTCCACAGCCTCCTCTTCTTCATCGGGAGGACCTGGTTCCTCCGTCATGTCTTTGTAAGTTCGCTTTTGGCTGGACCGCCCCAACTCCTCACGCAGAACCTCCAGCTCACCGGCCAGTAGTTCTTTTGTAAGCTGTTCTTCACTGGTAGCATGTCGACAATGCTCGCAGCTCACTTTCCAGAGCTCTCCCTTCATAGACACCCACAAGCTTGGCTGCTCAATCGCCAAAACCACTCCAGGACCCACCCATGACGGCTTCCGACCCTCATGGGACTCCTCGGTCATCATATGCCTCCTCTTCCGCTCCTTTGGCTGTCGGTAGACGTACACGGTCTCGCCAACCACGAACGTGGGAGGAATGCGGCTTCGGGCATTCCTTGCTCGAGTGAGAGCAAGTTGTGTCTGAGATTTGATGTAAGCCTCTTGTGCCGCTTGACGCAGCTCTAAGACTCGTCGCATCTCATCTCCAGCACTCTGCACTACCAGTCTAGGGTCTGTCGGATCATCCGACAAGAGAGATCCTGGAAGTCGAAGATTATGCCCGATCTGCCGTTGTGTGGGAGAAAACCCGCTCCGATTCCCGTACCTGTTCTTGGCATTCTCCACTTCGTAGAGCAGGGTCTTCAACTCTTCCCACGTGCTAATCTGGGTGGTCTCCCTCGCTTTCTCATACACATGCTTGTAGTGAGCTCCAGCTCTCTCCGTCTTCCCAGCTTGCCAGGGAGATCTGGCTGCAGTGTGACGAATCAAGGCGCCTGCTTGAGCCGCCATCTCCGCGAATTGACCTCGAAATTCGGTTCCCAGGTCAGCTATGATGATCTCAGGAACGCCAAACACTCTGCCCCAAACTCGCAGGAAGGTTCTCCAGGCGTGGTCGGACTCGGTGTTCTTGAGCCTTTCCACCATCTGGTAACCGGTTCCCCAGTCCACCATGTTCAAAGCCGGAAAGGTCTCTCTCTTGTCCAGTGCGCTCAGGAACACCACGTCAACTCCCACCACCTTGCCTGGTTCATAGCTTTTGGGCAACACAGCAGGTCGTGCTGGCTTGGGCTTTGGCCTTGCTTTGCACACATCGCACTCGAACTTTGTCGCCACATAACGGACCACATGCGGTTTGGCGTTTGCCAAACGCAAAGATCTCGCCATCTCCTTACCTGCTGGATGACCCATATTCTCGTGCAGCTTCTTGATCAGCCGTTTTTCTTCTGCGGTAGGCTCCAGCGCATCATCAACTGGCTGTTGCCGCTCATCCAGCTCATCCTCCTCCTGCACATAGACCTTGCCGCACTTTTCGGAACATCTTGGCACAGGAAACCCCGTTTCGTGAAGTTGTTGAGCAACGTCGCCTTCCATTGCATCAACTCCTCTGGCCGTAAAGGCTGTAGCCACATAGCGGCTTCCAGACCATGAACGGGACTCGTGCCACCTCTTTGGGTCAAAGGAGAGAACCCGGTGCTTGATGTTGTGGAGCTTCCCGGCCTGCCTCTTCCCATTCGGCAAGTTCCGAAAGACGGCACGTGATTCCGGAACTTCATCGTCCTGAATCCATATCTCTCCTCTGCGATACGATCCTGCACCGATCACATAGTTTTGGGACTCCCTCTTGTTGTGTAGATCACGATGAAGACTGCTGCCTGCATTCAGCCCCAAAGATATGGTAGTCCAAGTAGGTTTTGGGATTCCTTGGATTTTACACTGAAACTTCATCATGTTGTTGAGGTACATGGCACAGTTAGGCAGCGACTTCGTCCGGTTCGTGACTCCATGACGGTTGCCGTGTGAGTACATGCCGAAAACCAAGTAACTTCCAGCTATGGTTGTGGACCTTGCCCCAGCTCGCGTAGAAGGCATCCTCTCCACGAACTTTTCAAACGACACCAGTGAGTAGTCACGTTCTCGAATCAGACGACGTGCCATGCCTTCCAGGTAGCCGACATCTGCCTCGCTCAGGTATGAATGACTGGCCTCCTGGTTCTGAGAAATGCTACTGTCGTCGCAGTGGTGTGCCTCCTGGTTCTGAGAAATGCTATTGTCGTCGCAGTGGTGTGCCTCCTGGTTCTGAGAAATACTATCGTCGTCATGGTGGTGTGCCTCCTGGTTCTGAGAAATGCTATTGTCGTCATGGTGGTGTGCCTCCTGGTTCTGAGAAATGCTATCGTCGTCATGGTGGTGTGCCTTCTGGTAAGCGACAAGGTTCTCGGAGACGTGTGCCAGCTTTGCTTCATGATCAGCATCGCTGCCCATCTCATTGCTCACCGCACACATCAGCCCAGGGTGGTTTCCAGTGAGCATCCGCTTGCAGTCTAGAACCTGCTGGACTCGCCGTCCAGTCATTCCATCGCAGCTTGTTCCAGCCTCCACATAGTCCGCATCACACTCGGAATGCAGCATCAAGAAGGCCTTGCCCGTTGCATCCTGCCACGCTGCGAGGTCCAAGGCTGCCTCCAGGTCTTCACCAGAAGCACACTCCGCCTCAATCACCATGTACTCGGGTTGTCGAACCGCCATCCGACTCCAAAAACTTGCACTTGCTAATTCTTTCACTCCCAACCATTCAACGCTACGCCAATCCTTTGTCTCCGTGGACTCTGAGACTTGGACGAACTTTCCAATGGCATTTTGCATTCGCTTCCTCTCGCCGGCAGTGAGTGCCTTCGTCTTTCCGAACTCCTCGCTCCAGGCCACAAGAGCCGCTTCATCTTCGAACACCGCGAGGACCTTCTCGTCTTCCTGTAAGCTGCGCGGCAACCATCCGTTTCGTTCATCCCACTTCGCCCCATCATCATCCCACACATAGTAGCTTTTGGAGATTGGCATGCTCCATGGTGCATAGGAGTGTTGAGAGCCAAATGCCCTCATCTGCAGGCTTCTTGCTGTCTTCAATTGCGCAGCGGTTTGGATCAGGCAAGCCTGCTGAGGCCCAATCCCAACTGGTAGCCAGTCTTCTAGCTTGAGTGGTCGACCATCTGGAAGCCCTCCATCTGACTCGCTTGAAGCTGACTCATGAAGCTCTGAAACCAAGCGACCTGCTCGTGCAGCATTCGTGTCTCGGTCTGGTGCTGCTGAGCCTGAGCTTCCATCTGAGCCTGGAACTTGCTCTCCATCTGCAGCATGTGCTCCTTCATCTGTTCTCGGCTCGCTTCCACATGCTTCTCCGCTTGACTTTGGATCTTTACAATCTCCTCGTTGAACACCTCCAAGTCGTCCAACTCCATTGCCTGCTGGTCCTTTATTTCCATCTGCTCCTTGATGTCCCAAAGGAAGAACTCGCACACTCTCTTCTCGCATCGATAGAAGTGTCGGCCCTTCGTTGGACCCTCTTTCTTTACCTGCCAGTTTCGAGCCGGCTTGCCACACTGACACATGATGATCTTCGTCTGCTCGCTGCTCGATGCGGCACATGCGCGATCCTTCTCTTCCTTCTTCCGGGCCAGTTGTGTCGGATTGAGGTACTCCCAGCGGCCCTTGCACTTGTTGCAGTAGATCTCCTTCTGGTGCTGGTTCCCCGCGCCCTTCAACTCCTGCGCCGGGTGTTTGCAAGCTTCGATGGCAATTTGCGGTTTGTCCTTCGTCTGACGTGTTCCAAGGAAGCTGGCATAGCGGATCACCTCGCCATACTCCAGCTGTTTGTCCTTTGCAGGAACTGCAATTGAACTCGCTTGGGTAGAAGGACATGGGACCTGTGAAGGATCCCCCAGCCCCAAGAGCCGCGAAGAGGAACTTGGCAGCCAGTCCAGCACCTTTGCGCGAAGGTCTACCAGGATCATCAGGTCGAACACCTTCTCGCCCACCACTCGCCAACGTCTTACAGCTCTTCGGCTCCTCGTCACTGCCGCTGGTCTTCCACGGGGAGCTCCATCTTGCTCTCTCTGCTCGAGCATGCGCTGCAGCATCAACGATGCCATGATTCTCGGCGGGCTTCGAATTTCCAGTCACTGTTTGCTTGAGTGAAATCATGCTGTGGGTCGCAAACACGAACTGCTCATGCTGTGCTTTGCCTCTGGCGCCATCAGGCAACTTCCAACCATCTGGTGAAAAGGCTGTCACATCAACCGACATGTGCCCGGACGGAAGTGCATGCATAGGCGCCTCCACGCCGTACTCTCGAATGTCCAAGATGTCGCGATCCAGGTCGATGACTGCCCTGAGCTGTTTCAGCAACTTGATGGGCAGGAGTAGTGGAACATTATCAGTCACGACTGTCAGCTCAATCAACCCGTTGACCCCAGCTATCCCAATCGGAACCTCTGCAATGCCGAGGACGGTCGCCTTTCCTCCGACTCCACAGGCCTGAGCTTTCTTCTCGGTGTTCCACTTGAACTGTAGACCGTGCTTGCGAAGCGACTCTGCAAGTCTTAACAGTGCTGCTTTGCCGATCAAACCATCCTGGGCCGCAGTGTCCACGACTCCCTCGTGGGCGCCTGTCACAACACCGACAAAGACAGGGGCGGGTTCATACTCAAGCTGGTGCTCAGTCTGCTCGGGCTTATCTCTCATCACAGCACGAAGGACGCTTCCAAAGGTGGGAACAAACGACATGAGGACGCTGGACGTGCTGTTTTCCTTCGAGTTCTGCACGAAGTAGCCTTGGGCCGAGCCAACGCCGTTTGGCGACTCAGCTTGCACAAAGAACCCCGACCTCGTGGAGGTAGACGAAGAAGATGCTGCCGAAGCCCTTTGGGCTGCAGCAATGCGTCCCCTCTCATCTGGAGGATTCCTACACTCCTTGGCCCAATGTCCCAGCGCCCCACACCTCGCACACCGCGTCCTCAGCTTCAGCATGTCCACATGAACCTTCGTGCTGCCATCTCGGCTGAACTTCACGTAGTCGCGGTTCTTGAAGCCCAAGGTGACACGGCCTTTTCCTTTTCCTTTGCCCTTGCCTTTGAAGCCTCCACTTCCTTTGCCGCTTGACGGATTGCGGCCTGCAGGATAGTAGCCCCGGCTGTTCTTCTGTTCCCGCAAGGAACGTCGCACATCTTGATACGTAGCCAGAGCTTCCTGGATGTCGCTCTCTTCGAACGTGTCTTGCATCTCGCCTTCACCGATGTAGACGTAGTCCTCATCGAAGTCAGACTCGTCATCCTCGAAGCTCGGACCTTCCACATAGGTCTCTGGGACGCCCTCGTCATATTCCGAATCGACCTCGGTGTCGAGCAGATAGTGGCTTCCTTTCTTTTTCGAGTCATGTACTCCTTTGTCCAGGCGGCGAAGATTCCGAACTACCACAGCTCGGTCGAACTTCCCTTCGCCCCATGTCAGCATCTGGCTTTCTTGTACATCGTTCAAGTTGGCATGCCGAAACATAACATATCCAATCACCATGTCATGTAGCTTCACCCCCTGACGCTCCAGCTCCTTGAACGCATACTCCATGCGAATCACGAACTCGCCGAAGGTCTCCTTGGATCCTCTGATGTCGCCATAGATCGCCTCCTCGAAGGCTTTGGGCAGCGACGTCTCCAGGTGGGGCTTGAAGTGCTCCTCGAGCGCGGCCAACAAGTTGTCGAGGCCTTTCTCACAGGCGATTTCCTCGAAGGACAAGTTGTCGGCTGTAGACCGAGCCGCGCCTGACAACTGTCGAAGAACCTTGACCCCCCTCTTGTTCTTAGGGATTTCCGTCTCGAATTCCCAAAGCTTCAACTCCTTCAACCATCGAGGGAAAGAACGAGAGGGATCCCGACCGTCGAACGGTGGCGGAGGTTCCCTATCCCTCCACGAGCCGGAGGGTCCGGCACCATCAGAAGCAGCCATCTCAGCTGCACCACCAGCCGAAGCCGCAGCAAGGCTCTTGCCGTCTTGGGCCGGAGATTTGCCCTTCTCCTGACCTTTGCCACCCATACACTGGATGGCCCACCTGGAGCTTCACGAAGTGCTCCGCTACCACCTGCAAATGCAGGCGGTGTCACTCGCTCCAAATCGATCTGCACTTTTCCTTCACCTGCATCTGTCAACTGCGTACCATAGGCATACAAGGGGCCCCTAGGTTCGAGCCGCCGTGTAGCGGACATCACATGAGGCTTTCAGGAAGGGCTATACATCTGGACTTTCACAACTTCAGGAGCTGTGCGTTACGGTTCGGGGCGCTAGGGCCAGAGCGGCCCTGCGCCGGCGCAGCGAGGCTGCGGCCAACGGTGGGCCGTAAAAGCCGCAGCGGCACTTCCACCTGGGCCTCTTACAAGCCCTGGCAATGTCGCTTCGCTTGGCGTGGCCTTGTACCATGCAGGCCTTTTGCTGCGTCGTGAGCTGGCTGATCCATCCTGGCCATCACGCATGTCGGCTGTGAAAGCCATGAAGGCCATGAGGGCGTTGAAGGCCACTGAGGCGAAGATCCCGGGGAGGAGATGCCCGAGGAGCTTTAGCCATCGGTGTACGTCCGTGATGCGCATCCGCGCAAGTCCCACGCATGTTTATTCCCCTCAGCTGGCCGTGCTTAGCAGTCAAAAAGTCAAAGGCTTCACGACAGTTTTGCACCACAGACAGCGTTCTTTGTGACAGTCCATTGTCACAGTAGTTCGCTTGGCTGAGGAGCGGGAGCTGCTGCAGCACCTGCCCCTCCTTCCCGACACGCAGTGCGCTTGGCTGCTGCTTGCCATGTGCGCTTCCCCGCGGGCCAACCATGCTCTCCGCACCGTCCCGCCACGCGACGTGGCCCCGTACGCCGAAGCGCATGACGAGGCCGTGTTGGGGACGTTGATGGACCTGTTGGGGGGGATCGCGCCAGACCACGCAGAGCACCGCCCACGACCCATGTTTCTGCTCTTTGTGTTTGAAAATGACCCCGTTGTTGTGTTTGAAGATGACCCCTTTGTTGTGTTTGAAGATGACCCTTTTTCTGGTGTTTGAAAATGACCCCTACGCCGGGCTTAAGTGCGGCAATTAGCCACCTTCCCCCGCGGCCTTGAGACCACGAGTCTGCGCCGGAGAAAAGGAGCGTTAAAAAGGATAAAATGACCCCTTACCCCTTTCCCGCGCCCGGCGCTGCCGTTTGGTGGTCGTCGGAGTCGAGGTTGGTGGCCGCTTTGGAGCCTGGCCCGACACCGGGCCGACGGTGCACTCCGACCGGCGGCGACAGCGGCCTGGGTCGCGCGCTGGGCCGGTTTCTTGGCGGTGGCAGCGCAGTCCGCATACGCCAACTCGGGGAGAGCGCAGACGGAACGACGCCAGACTTCCACGAAGTCTTGGCACCCCCGCAGCCCGGCCGCCTGCCGCTGCCCCAACATTAAGCAGCCCCCGGGCGAGCGTTGAGCTTTTGTCTTGCGATAAGGCAGACTATGGCAGACTACTGTGCTGAAGCTTGTTAGGACGTCGACCCGAACTGCGTTTCCTTCGGGCGAGAGAGTCATGCATGGGATTGTTGACAACGTCACCGCCGTGTCATTGGCCAGTTTTAGTACGGGGGTTTAAGGTTTAGGGGTTGGTTTAAACAGGGGTTGGTTGCCTTTCCATCGCAAACCAGGGTATCGTTAGGGTTCCGTGCGGGTATCGTTCAGGGTCTCGTTCGCATAGGCAGAATTTTCTTGGATTCAACCCATGCGCTGACCGTGACACGCGGCATGAGCTATTGTTAGTTCTCCTCTTGACACTCAACCTAAACGGCCTACTCTTCGTAAGTTTTGGTAGGCCTGGTAGGCTTGACTCCATGCTTTGCTTGCATTTCTTTGGGGCGGAGGTCCTTCAGCAACCATGTAGGATGATGTTTTCAGGCATGTTGAGCCCAAGGGTTCCATGCGATCCTTAGTGATTTGATACTTGCGCACTAGATGGAAAATCCATGCGTTCATTGGGGGAAAGGATCTCGCAGTCGACTTCGTCGACTTCCTGAAATTCCTCTGCGTTCACTGGGTTTTCACGTCTCCCCCAATAAATGGGTCGACTTTCCCGAGTCCCTGTAGGTGGCCCCGACCAAGTTCGGACACATTCGTGATGAAAAACCATTGATTTGACAGTGACACAGTGAGACGAACCGAACAGCAAATTGACCATGATTGCTTTAACTTGCAGTGCTTTTGCTGGTGGGCTCAAGATCAGGGTTGTGCTATTTCATCATGGCTTGCACCTCGTGTCAGTGTTGGTTTAGGCACTTCTTCCAAACATGTGGAAGCGCAACCTACCTTCCCAACGCATGAGTTGCGCATTCATGCTTTGCAGAACTACATGCTTCCGGCCGAGTCCATATGCCGGGACGTCCTCACCCGCCGCCTTTGCCAGCTTGCGGGTATGTAGTGCAAGCAACCAAAAAAGGTGCAGCCAGCAATCGCATTGGAATGGGGCATGACTATTGGGGCATCTGAGCATGCGGATGTTGTTGAGCAGGTGGGGTGCCCATCAAGGTGGAATCGCGAGCCAAAGGCAAAAAGGCAGGCAAACAGCAAACGCTTGTTTTGCGCTTGATTTGCCAAATGCCTTGCTGTCATTTGTGCGGGTGCCATTCTTCAGGTGACAATCATTTCCGGTGTGCAGGGTGATGCGCAGCCAAGTGCTTAGTTTTGTTGGGAGTGTTTGGATAGTGTTGCCACTTTGTTGATGTTGACCGCAAAAAAAGTGGTTCGCAGGTCGCTTGTGTCCGCTTTGGGTGGTTTGCTGGGCTGCGGCGGCTCCGTGTGCCATACGGCGGGTCAAACACAAGTACTTGTACAAGGACCCTTGGTCAACAATTGCCCGTGAAGATCGTGAGAGAACATGGCATCAAGACTGCAGAAGCAATTTGCACAGGAGACCAGACGGAACGCATCACCGGATCTCTCGAGCAACTCGGTTGCTTGCGGGGTCTGGCGAAGACTCCGGCAAAGAAAAAAGCCGAGGCCCGGCTGAGAAGTGGTCGCAATGTGCGCATTCCAATGTGTAGTCCAGGTGCCCACTTGGGGCCTTGGTAAAAAAGGGGTTGATTCGGCTTCATGTCATGTTTGTTTCTTGAAGCTTGCAGACCTGCGGTGGGATTGGAATCTGCGTGGTGTGTGAAGCCACAGTATAGATCAGGGCACGTGTTTGTTCGAAGTTTCTGGACGAACCTCGGTGCAGGTGACAGCTGTACGCGTTTGCGCATATGACAAATTCCTCCGACAAGGAGACGACAGCAAAGGCCTGGCCAGAATACTGCAAAACGAGGCGCATGCCCCTCAATGTCTGCCGGGCGCAGAATGTTCCTCGCCTCAAACCAACCATATGTTGGAATTTGTTGGATAGTGAAATCATTGTGAAAGCTAACACAAAATGGGTAATCACCTGTCAGCTTGTGCACTTGGCCAAGTCAAGGTTTTCGCTGGCACGGCCCTTGGGTCTATTGCCGCGGTTGCTGCGAGCAAACCGATCTTAGTGATGTTTGGGAGGAGGGTTTAGACGATGTCATCGGATTGGATGTGCCCCACGGCGACTTGCCTGTGTTGCATTTGTTGATATTTCTTGTGTATGGAAGGCTTTGCAGGCGTGCAAGTCCTGAAGTGAAGTTAGCAACCTGCAAACGGAATCCTAAGGCAGCAGCTATCTTTTTGTCGCGCCCATGGTTCGCACATCGCTGGCCGGGCTGGATGGAGACCTTCGCAAGTTGGGGATGTTAGCAGAGGTCGGAGAGGCTGCCCAAACCTGGGGTTTGCGCCCGTCCAATGCAAGTGAAGCCTGGAAGGGCCTCACGCTAGCCGAATACAGGCGGAAAGCGGTGGCACCTGGCGCCAGGTTACTGGAGTATGCGCCGTCGTCCTCTGGCAGGGCTTGTCCCTCTGGCGCGCCGAGCGTGCGTGCACAGCGAGCCGCCCAGAAGCTGCGGCCTGCGAAGGCCGAAAAACCACCGCAGGAGCAAGGACGGTTCGCCTGCCCCACGTGCGGCCACAACTTCAGCCTTCGCTTAACCCTGAAGCAGCACATGATGCTCTCTCATGGGGAGAGATTAACGGGTCCTGTCCCAAACCTCCTGAAAGTGAAAGACCCGCCAAATCGGCCACGCGCTCCGGCGACTCCTGTGCGATTGCAAGCCACTCCAAAGCCAACGACCGCACCCTGTGTTGCTGCCCCAGCAGGCAGAGATCTGCCGGTGAAAAATTCAGATTGCGTATCTGATGAAATCCACGAAGCGGTCAACAAGCAAAGAATCATGGAGTTGACGCCGTCCGAGCAATGTGAGTTGGAGGAACAAGAATCGCAGACAGAGTGTCCAATATGTACCTTGGACTTGAACGTAAGGCTGTAGCAGGCTGCAGTGGTACTCCTGGACTTACGTCATAATGCGTTTCAAACGTCAAGTGATGTTTATCACAGGCTGCATGGCATCGTCGCATGTGTTGGTGCGGGCCCGCGCCGTCCAGCATCTTTGAATCCTAAGCTGATGGCACTAAGGCAAGCATTTCATCGCGGGTGAATCCCTGCAGGAGCACGTGGACAAGTGCTTGTCTGCTCTGCAGGTCTCTTTTCAAGTTTCAAAATAGTGAGTTTGGGGGTGGAGCTCAAACGAGCTTGTTCTTGTTGCGGGTGGCCTGAAACAGCCCAAGCCTACAGTAGCAGTCAGCTTGCAGGCAGTGGCCAGCTCCTATGCCTGGACTGAGTGTCCGATTTGCTTTGCGCCTTCGCACGTGACATAGGATAGGCTTTTGGCCAGTAGGCCACAGGGCGCTAGCTTGGTCGAGCAAACACTTTTTGCACAAACGGAGAGAAGAGTCCGGGGTTTACAGGCATTGACACCCGGTTTCGCCACGCGGAAACGTGAGCGTGTTGCGATGGGATTGATGCACGCATGTGTCTGGAGTCTGGAGCTTTTGAAAGAGATAAGGAACGAGTTCACCCAGATCTGCTCCAGTCGCATGTGGAAAGCTGCCTCTCCAGTGCAGAGGGTGCTTCGGAAACCGACAGCACCGACCAAGATGCAGATGCCAACGGCTGGGACACATGTCCCCTCTGCGATGCTCCTCGGCGTGGGCTTTGACAAAATCGCAAGTCGGTGTGGTGCTGGCAGCATAGATCGATTGACTCATGTCAAATGTCAACGGGTCAGCTCCTGAGGCAACATTCAGTTGATGGCAGAACCCTGAAGATCCCTTGAAAACGCCCTGAGACAAGGGCATCGTTAGCCTAAGTCGTTGATGTGTGAATTCGTGGGCAAGCAAAAGAAAAAGCGTGCCTTGCCGGTTCGTCCGAGGAGAAGGTCCACCGGGATACCATCTGTGCCCATGTGGAGAAGTGCATTGCTGTCTACCAGGCATTGGTCGAGGGTCTAGCGGCGATAGCGCCATCTGGAAGTCCATTGTCGATGTGGGGGTGGGGCTCGGTGCGCTCGGGGCACACTGTGCAGAAGTTTTTGCCGGGACTTTGGTTGAAACTAGTCTTCACATCCGTCTGCGCTTTTGACAGGCCTCCCAAAGCAGGGACATACTGGGCGATGAGTCCCAGGCCGAGGAGGACACAGCCGGCGCTTCACCCGAGTTGCCGATGGAGGGAGGGCGGTGTCTGGAGTACGTGGAGTTCAGGATTCAAACTCTTAGCCCCAAGCACAGAACAGCGAAGACCAGATCTGCAAACCAATCCCTAGCCGGCAAGCTGAGGCGTGCCATCCTCCTCAGAGGAGCCGCTGCTGCTGAAAGGCAGGCTCCAGGGTGGGAGAGATAGGGAGGAAGAGAGAAGAGAGCTCTGGACGGAACAACCGGGCCAAGTTTCACCCCGACCACACCTTGACAGCGGGCGTCGCGGCCGGGGTCCACCCTTAAAGGGGGGGGGTCTCTTTGCTATGCAGCAGAAGAAGAAGAAGCAGAGGAAGAGGAAGAGGAAGAGGGAGAGGGAGAGGGAGAGGGAGAGGGAGAGGGAGAGGGAGAGGAGAGGGAGGAGGGGAGAGGGAGAGGGAGAGGAGGGGAGAGGGAGAGGGAGAGGAGAGAGGGGAGAGGGAGAGGGAGAGAGGGAGAGGGAGAGGGAGAGGGGAGAGGGAGAGGGAGAGGGAGAGGGAGAGGGAGAGGGAGAGAGAGGGAGAGGAGAGGGAGAGGGAGAGGGAGAGGGAGAGGGAGAGGGAGAGGGAGAGGGAGAGGGAGAGGGAGAGGGGAGAGGGAGAGGGTGAGGGAGAAGGGAGAGGGAGAGGCGCTGTTGGAGGATGGCCGCGCGTCGAAGACACCAACGGAGCCCAAGAGCACACCATGAGCCCAGAAACCCAGCCCGGTCCTAAAGTCAAGCCAGGCCTGGCAGTCTGCATGGTGGTGCGCGACTGCGATGCGCGAGGCTCACCCCCCCCTCAACCTGAAGCTTTCGCACCAAAGCCTTGCAATCTTAATGAGAGCTCTTCTTAGCCGCTCCGCCGACTGCCAGAAGCACTTGAAGCCCATTCGTTTAGGATGGAAGTGGTGCAGAGAAGGCTGAACTAGGGAGGCGAGGGGGGGTGAGGGGGATGAGGGGGGCAGACAAACAATGGCTTCCTGCTTCGGAGCCAGCTAAACCCGCCAAGCATATGATTCGTAGCCCTAAAGTCCAACAGCCAACGGCGCAGGGGAGCATCAGCTGCAGATGTCAGCTGGCGAGGAATTTGCTTTGGAGTGGGAGCAGCCTGCTGAGGCTCGTGAGCCTAAAAATGGATAAGGGCATTCCGGCAATTTCACCGGTACTTGCAAGTTCTATGCCGGAACGACACCTGTCATGAATTTCCACAGAGAAGTGGTGTAGGGATGCCGGGCACCTCGGAAAGGCGTGGCTTGAGTTGCCTTGGCAGGAAGGAGGATATTGGGCCTGGGGCTACCGCCTTTTTGCTGGAGATGATGGCTACATTCCGCTGGAGAGTGGTGGCTTCACCGCAACGACGGAAGCCTAAAGCTGAGTGAAGGTGGCAATGCAAGCGCCCCCTGAACCTTGAGGTACACAGAGTCCAGAGGTATCTGACCTCCCTGCCCACATTGGACTGCAGACCCCCCAAAGGGGGAAAGCCCCAAAGCCCCTAAGATATCCAAGAAGTTCCAGGAATGTAGTTCCCCGCGCCAAGCCCGCCACTTCTTCAGCGATTGCTTTCCGTACATCTTTCCGAATTCGCGGAGTGGGATTCTGTGTGTTGCGTGTAGGCTTCCGAAGTGCCGCGATCAGACCTCAGGGTTCTTGGTCTGGCCTTTTGGTTCATGCACGTCCTGCAGGGAGTATGTGCTCCTCCGTAGCAAGTCCAACACGCCACAGAGTTCCACTGAAACAAACCCAAAGAAGGAACCCTGCCAACCCCGACACCAGGCTATATTCCCCGCTCGCACACGAAGATCAAGCTCGGCAGCAAGCAGCCTACCCTTGCAGCTGCAGCTGTGCAGCAGTCGAAGGCCGACACTCGCCAAGACATTTCAGGGCCCACCACCTGGATGAGGATAAGGCCCCCAGATTTCCTGGGATAAAGCTGTGGACAAGACCCGGACCCAAAAGACTCAGAGTGAAGCTGATGGAGAGCTTGCGGGCACGCGCAATGAGGCGCTGACAGCATGCTGAAGTGAGAGGTAGGGTTCGCAAAACAAGCTCCGTGAGAGGCACCTCATGGTGAGGGGTGAAAGAAAATAGGGAAAGATTGGGATTGAGCAGGGAAGACACAAAGAAGGACAGAAAACATCGGGCAAATGTGCTGGCCTTCTAGGTCAAAGGTGCAGACTCTGTAAGTGGTACGCTGGGGCATTTGCAGCACCAAAGCTTTGGCCTGCAAAACACAAAACATGGAATGCCCTAACCATGAGCCCTGCTTGATGCCGCCATCTACACACAAAGCAAAGCCGAGCCCCAGCTTCAATACAATGCGTTACTTTTGCCTCAGTCGCGAGCTAGTGCAGGCTTTCGTGAGTGCAAGCTGCGAGTTTTTCAACGCTTGGCACTGAGGCTTACGCTGCGGTGGAGAACGCCTCCCCGCTAGACCCTGCAACGCGGCCCGAAAGCCCAGCGAAAACCTGAGCGACCCTCAACCATGAAATATCTCGACGAGATTAGCTTGTCGTCAGAATGAGAAAGTTGAGTTGAAAATGACCTCAACATTGGAACAACGGGCTGATAAGAAGAGAGGGCCTGCGGCTCAGGTGTGGGACTGTGCGGGCCCAGGCAGGAAGAGCATTTAGGGTTGAAGGGTATTCAGACTTCAGGAGTTTGAGAGCTTAGGATTACACATAATCACCGCGGTGATGATGGGTCAGTTGAAAGTTGATCTCGTGGCGTACGTGGAGTATTGCTGAGGAGCGGGAAGCCTAAGCCACGTCCAGGCTCCGAGGCAGGTGCCCAGGAGGACTTCCAGGAGGAGTCCCCGTCTGCGCCGGCCGCGTTCGACGGTGGGGGTTAAGGGATTTGAGGACAAATTCGCAATAACAAAACAGGAGGCCGCAGGCTCAAATTACGGTTGCTCCTAGCGTGCATGGATTTGGACACTCCCCCAGACCGTAAGGCAGTTTGAAGTTTAAGCCCTCCCTGAAGGTCTCCCGGTGTTCGTCGTGGTGCGCCCCTGGCGCCCGAAAGGGCCACACCAGCTCGAGTTGCTCAGCTCGGGGTGAAGTGTAGCCAAAGCCTCGAGCAAGCAAACTTTCTGGCCAAGTTTCTACTGCACATTCCCATCCTGCGTGTTTGTGACCCGCAGGTGCGAGTATCTTGAATGCCCACAGCTTTTCCCCCATTTAGCCCTGAGACCGAGGCTTCGGGAAGGTGACGAGTTTGCCCTGGAGTGGGAGCAGCCAGCCGAGGACTCCACGTGAGCTCATGTGCATGTTTCTCCACGCGTAGTAATGTTGGGTGTCTGGAGATTGGCAAGCCATGGGCGAGGTCTGATTAAGTGCTGGGCCTTTGTAATCAGGGGGGTGGTGACATATGCTGTAAGCCCAGGACTCCCGGCAGCTGCCATCTACAGCCTTCGAGTCCCCAAAACGTGAACGACCCTTCAATTGCCTCCAATCTTGAGTGCTATGTAGAGAGCGTCCCAGCATCTGGAAGCACTGCTAAATTATCAGAGTCCACCACAGGATGGAGGCTACTGGGCTTGGGGCTGCCGTGTGCAGCTGAAGGAGGGATCCTACAGGCGCTTCGCGCTTCTGAGCTTCAGAAAGGGCCTTTCGATTTTTGCAGCCTGTTCAAGAGTGGTGTCAGGGTTCTGCATGTGCTGTTGTGGCGTTGTTTGGGTGCTGAGACGCTGCAAGCTTGCACAAGCGGCACACCTTGTAAGGATTCCAACTTAGCGCCCGGCCCGGCGTAGTAAGAATCCCCACTCCACATGCAAGGATCTGAGGAAGCAGTGCAAAGTACAGTGTTTCAGAGCTGGTTTATGCCCAAAAGCCTCGTTGGCCAGACGTGACAGGTATGGCTCGGCCGGCAACCTGTCTGAAGCAGAAAGTTTGGAAATCAGACGCCTCTAGCGCTCAACTATTCAAACATCCTACACTGCGGGATTTAGGGTTGGGGTCAAGTAAAAAGCCTCCTGGCCAGAAGCCGGACATGTTTCGTGTGGGTGCATGAAGGGCGCACATGAGCTTTACCTGGCCTTTCGATCGCAGCGATCGGCAGGCTCTCGTAGGGGTTAGGCGGTGCAAAGCTCAGATGGTTAAGGCTCTGCAGTGTGGTGAGACGCCATGCATGTCTGGCAACCTGCACCCTGAGACCCTTGCAGAGCAAGACATGTTTCAGGGGCGGTTGTGGCACCGAGCCCGCCATCTCAGGATACATGCCTCGGTCCCGCCTGGCGCCAAAGCCGACGCGGGAAGCTGGGCTTTCTGCTGGGGATGCTGCGGATGTCCTCTCCGAGGAACTGACGCAGCCCAGCCCAGAGCTACCAGAGCCTGTGGAGGTGGGTTCCTTGGGCTTGTCCACGGATCTTCTTGCGCTCTCCGGATTCAAGATTCTCAGGAGCATGTGGTAGATGGAGGCGTGTTTGCTGGGTGCTGAAATCCAAAAAACCCAAAACAGCAAATCTCGAATGCTCAGCATTCCAAACCTTGTGAGCCCACCACAGAACGTCGCATCAGCATCTCATTTTCCCTGAGGTGGCGCCCGAGCCTGAAGCCTCCCGGGTGCACCTGTCAGCTCCAAGAATCGAATCCCGTAAAAATTTGTGGGTTCCGGCAGTATTAGTATTGTCCGAGGTAGATATGTTTTGGAGATTTTTTCACACAAGGAGCTCGTCGTCTTATGTAGGTTTTTACGCCCCTTGTGCGAGTCTTCTCCCGCCGCACCTGTCCATACGGCCCTGAAGCAAGCTCGGACTCTTCGTCAACCTGGTCAAAGTTGGAGCTTCCAAGCTTTTGTTTGTCGAGGGCTTCATTTCGTGGGGCCGAACTTCTGAAGGTAGGTTGCTCCACACAAACCTGGCGGGAGCCAAGGTGAAGCATCGACGGCGTTGGGGGCGAGCGCAGGCCAGCTCAGTTTCGGAGGTTGTCAGGGCTCTCAGACAAGGCCCCGTACCTTGAGAACTCAAGCCTTTATGCCTTTATGCTTTCGAAACCCCATCGGTGATCTTCAAAAAGATGCAGCGGCATCAACAAGCTGGAGCAATCCCTCTTCGAATAAGAGGAGCATTGTTGCCGGGTGCTGTCTGGCACATAGCGCACGCCTTGTTCAGCCCCATGTGTTCCTGGCTGTAGGAAGTGATTATGCAGTCATCAGTCGATGACACCGTGCCAGGCTTCTTAAAGCTGCAGCTCCCACAGATGCCTTGACCGTGTACAGGACCACTTGAAAACCTGAGGCTGCCGTTATTTTGTTGGCATGCATGCTGCCAAATGAAACATCCAAGAGTACCACGTGCAATCTAACTCTTCAGCATGACATCCTGCTATGTGTTTATCCGCAACTTCAGAGACTTGTATTGAGATGCGATGGAGATCTCTTGCCAGTTTTCTTCCTGTCTGCCATCTCAGCAGGGGAAAATGCCTCTGCTGTCTATGCTGACAGTGAACCGCTTCTTTGCGTGGGCTTCCTGCGCTTCCTGAGCAGTTTGGGCAGGAAGCACGTGATTTAGCGACGCAGAATGGACAGCTGCACCGCTGAGGGCTGGTGCTTGCGCGGTGGTTTCACCAGGTGGACATGGTGTACAGGAGAGTACAGTGTATAGCAAAATCTCGCGAGGTAGGGAGGTGGCTATGAAGCGCATCGCTCCTGTGGCGCATTGCTGTGCGCAGGAGGGCTAGCTATGCCATCGGTTCACAGAAGACAACTACTACTGGCAGAGGATGCTATAAGTGTGGCAAGAACGCAAATTGTCCAGGGCTAGCTGGCTGCAAGTTGCTGCAAGCCGTTTCCTTCCCGCTTGCCCTGCCTGCGGCGACCTATCGATGGCCTGGCCACCACCTGCACAGTGTTCAACGCATCTTGCAGGAATGCAAAAAGCAGGCCAAAGCAGCGCACCCTTGGAAGCCCGATTAAATTATCTCGGATGTCTGTAGCCATGATCCAGGCTTGAAAATTCCTGACAAGCTCCAAAAATATCCTAAGAAGTCGAATAGCGCCTCATGCTATCACACTTTCAGGGGTTTGGCCCCTTCTACGTGTAGGTTTGGAGTCCTGAAGGGTTCGGAGTTTGCACTTGTGCAGGTTTAGGGTGATTCAGACTTGGTATCGGAGGGTTTCAAGGCTCGTTTGGGTTTGTCTAGCTGTGCATAGCCGGGTGCTTGGAGAAATGACCATCCGGTGAACCGGGAGCCGAAAGCTTGTGCTCGACACAGCCATTGAATGCCGGCCTAAATTCAGGCTGAATGGTGTTTGGAAGACCCTTCTGCGTCGTCCGAACTCTTGGCCCGTAGGCCAACCAGATCAACGAACGAAAGCTGTGAGGACAAGTGACTACAGCAAGGGCTTGCAACAGCACTGCAACGCTTGCAGCACGATTGAACAGTCTCGAGCACGAAAGCAGCATGAAGCTTCATTTTTCGCGTGCGATTCAAAGTGGCCTTGCCATGAGATCTGTAGATCTGCCATGCTTCCAGCTGACGTGTTCGCATATTGCAGTCCTGTTTGCCCTGAGTAGCCTCCGTTCTTGTCTCAGTTATCTCACCTCCCAACGCCCCAGACTAGTTAAACCCCGAACGCAAGAGTCGGGGGGTTCATGCTGCGGTGGTCGGTCCTGAGCGTGCTGCTGCTGGTCGCCGCCCCGGATGTCTCGAAGGAGGCCTCCCCCCCCCCTCCCTCTCGATCAGAAATTTGGGTTAGGAGTCACTTGTAGATTGGGAGTGCTCGACTACTTCGGGATTTTGGTTCGTATCGGGAGTTTATGTTTGTAGTAGCAGCTTAGTAGCAGTAACTTCGATGATTGTTGGAGTTTGGGCTTCGAGGTGACTTGAGAGCTAGGACGGTCAGGGCATCGGCTGTTTTCTGAAGTTTTCTGAATTCATGTTTGTTGACGGTTCTGTTGCTGTGACAAGTCCTTCCGCCTCGGGGAACTGCCATAGTCTCCCCAAGACCCGTACATGCATTGTTATCTTACGAAGCAAAGCAGAGTATTGAGACATGAGCCCAAGCCCATCGTAACCCAAAGATGCAAAGCCCGAAGTCCCAAGCCCCAACCACCTCATTCTCGAAGGCCATCCGAAAGCTTGCACGCGAGTTGTCTCCCGACGTGCCCGTGGAATGGCGCCTCAGAGCGGTAGCACAGGCTTGCCCTGTTTTGTCATTGGATTCCAGTTCTATTTTTCCAGATTTTTCTTCGGTATCGTGCAACTATCATCCTCTTGTCGATTGGCACAGGGGGGAACCCAAGGCAAGGCCGACTGGAGTCTGTCCTGCTCTACCACTTCCGGAGCAAGCACTTCCTTGATGTCCAGGCATCCTTGCCTGGAGAGCTGGCTGCCTGGCCGATGGGGCAATCAGGTCGAGGAATGCGCTAATGAAGTGGAGCTTCCGTGGATTTCGCCCCGTTCCGCACAAACGCTACACCCTGCTACATGCTTGGAGGTGCATGTTCGGAGTCCGGAGTCTTATTGTGCTGCCTTAGGGCCTTAGGGTTAGTGGAACTTTAGCGATGCGACGTGCTTGATTGCAAACTGTGCACCACGGCATGGATGAATGGTCGCAAGAATGAAAGTCTTTTGTTGCAAGCGGGTGCGGGGGAAAGTTTGCTTGAATGCAGCGGGCTCCGATTTCGGCACCGGAATTTTCGGGATCTTAATTCAGGACTGGTCCTCGCAACCATCGCCGTGGCGAAGCTATGATGGTGCGCCCAGACTCTCGGACATGCAGACTTCGGCCAAAGCCAATGTTAGGCTCAAATTCAGGTTTTGGCATGTCTACAGATCAGTCTAAACCCAGGCGGTTTCAAAGCCGATCTCTTGGATCACTCCAGCAGAAAGTGCACCTGACGAACATGCCGTTGCCTCGCATCGCACCCCAAACCCAGTTTTTTAGGAGAGAGGCTCTAGATTCAATTTCTGCCAGGTTTGCCTGACAATATCGGATGTGAACACTTTAGGGTGTCGTTCTCAGCGCCCCGAACCTCAAGACCCAAGGCCTTCACTTGAAGACAAAACATGTAGGGATAGTTTCAAAACCTGTGGTTGACTTGTGTACTGACCGCTTGCGGCTCTTTGCAGTCTCGTTTCTCTCTGTTTTCGCTGCTTGCAAGGTTCAGACGATTTAGATGGACCATGATGGGCCGTATTTGCATCCAGAGCGACCCAAAAACCCGAAAGGTCCGCCCCAAAACTGTCGTCGAGGTGTCCGGTTGCCATGCAGCCTGGCTCCTTTGGAGGCCGCCGTTGATCTCGGGCCTGAGGGCCAGGTTGAGAGCCGGGTTGGGGATTCGGAAAGTTAGCGATTGGGAAGGCAGGTTTTGCACCATCTCAAGTTTATTCTGGGGTGGTGGTTCTGTTTTTGATCGCCATGCCCGCTCGGCGCTTATGTGACCTTGAGCCTTTTGCACACCCCCACTGTCAATGCTGAAAGGCGGCCTTGCGTCCTGTGCCGCTCTCCAGAGAGAGCCTCTGGGCTGCGTGGCTCCGTGGGTGTGCCCCACGACCCTTAGGCCTTAGGCCCGTATCACCGAAGTGACCACCTCGAAGATCGGACCATATCGGACCTTAAAAGCCCCAAGCCCCAGCATCGCCTGGCTCTAATTGGGCCTTGTGATGAGGAAATCGTGAGGCACCAAAGCCCAGGACATGCCAAAGCCCTTGGCCGAAACCCCTTTCAAGAAAGACGTTAAAAAAAAGGGCACATCCCAAGCCCAGCCTGGCCAGCCTGGCTACAGCGGCTACAGGCCTCGGTGCCTTCCTGCGGCTGGGCGCGGGCCTCTCTGCCTGGAGCTTCGTCGGCCTGGGAGGGGGCTCCTGGGGGTTGTGAAATGGGTGATTCGATGGTGGGATATATATATATATATAGATATTTATGTGTATAATGCACACATGCATCCGTTGATTTCATGAAGACGTTTCCTCAGAAACGTTTGGGGCATGCATGGTGTCGGGCACTGTGATGCTTGTCGTAGCTGGAGGGTTTTGCGGTTGTGGTGTTACTTCACACCCAGGAAGAGCTATGACGGGCTGCACATGCCGCGCGGAGTGGCATAAAGCTTGGAGGGATTGTCCGCCTTCTGGGTGGCATTGTTTTGGATTTGACGTGGCATGCATTCTGCCCAAGAGACTAAGCCTAAGCCTGTGAGACTTAGTCTTCTGTGCAGGTCCAGGATGCCCAGGATTGAAAAGAAAGAAAGCAAGAAAGAAAGAAATAACAAGAAAGAAAGAAGGAACAGGAAGGAAGGGAAGCAAGCAAGGAAGGAAGGAAGGAAGGAAGGAAGGAAAAGAGAGAGAGAGAGAGAGAGAAAGTCACCCCGCCTTTTCCACCAGTGTCACAAGCATCAACAAAGAAGAAAGAAGAAGTCCTAAAGAATAAAAAATAAAGAAGAAAGAAGAAAGAAGAAAAGAAGAAAGAAGAAAGAAGAAATAAGACACAAGAAAGAAGAAAGTATAACAAAGGAAGACGAAGAATAAAGGAAGAATAACAAGAACAAGAATAAGAATAAGAAGAAGAAGGGGAACAAGAGGAATACTGATAAGAAGAAGAAGAAGAAAAAACGCAAAGAAGCGGAAGAAGAAGAATAGTAAACATAATAAGAAGAAGAATAGGAAGAATAGTAAGAAAAGAACAATAGTAAGAGGAAGAAGAGGAAGAGCGAAGAAACATAAGATGAAGAATAATAACAAGAATAAGAAGAAGAATAAGAAGAAGAAGAATAAGAAGAAGAAGAAGAAGAATAAGAGTAGAACAAGAAGAAGAGCAAGAAGAGGAACCATAAGAAGAAGAAGAAGAAGAAGTAGAAGAAGAAGAATAACAAGAAGAAGGAGAAGAGGAGGCATCATAAGAATACGAAATATGAGCATAAGAAGAAGAGGAGGAGGAAGAAACATATTAATAATGCGAAGAATAAGAGGAAGAGGAAGAAGAGAAAGAAGAATGATAATAAGAAGCATAATGATAAGGAGAATAGGAAGAAGAGCAATAAGAATACCAAGAAGTGGAAGAGTAGGAATAACCATATTAATAGCAAGAAGAAGCTGGAGAGGAATAAGAGGCAGAATAAGAAGAACAATAAGACTAATAATCAGGAAGAAGAGCCAGAAGAAGATGAAGAAGAGGAGGAAGAATAGTATGAACAAGAAGAAGAAGAGGAATTAGATGAATAACAAGAAGAAAACAAAGATGCCGAAGAAAGATAGAGCCCCAGGTCCATCCTGTACCCGCTAACAGAACCACGGGGGGCTTGCAACCGGCACTAGATTGATTTTGGGCATGGCATTTTTTTCCTAAGCTTCAGGTCTCACACCAACAGACTTGGTAACACACGCCTCCGGGCGGCCCTCGCCACCTGGGGAGGGCCATGTGCCGGGAAAGAAAGAAGGCGAAAGGTGTTTGCTGCACAAAGTAGTGCAAGAGCTGCCAGAAGGCCTACCGATTGGGGTTTAAAGGCTTGGGATTTCAAAACCTTGCACCGAGACAAGGTGGGCTTTGCGTGTGATGCCCTCCTCTGGAAACCTCCAGACAACGGAGTTCCATGTGCCCCTCCTTGCAGATTGGGGTTCAAATTCGGCTTCGGCTTGGGAGGCTTGAGAGGCTTGGGAGCAGTGTCAAGACTCAAGTCGTGCCAAGCCTAGACCTTGATGCAACGCTCAAGACTTTGGAGGTCTTTTGTGTTCGGGGCTTGCCTGAGACATCAGGTGGTGCTGCCGCCGCTGGACGGGCTTGCCGGGGTCCCGGCATCGAAGCCTGCCCAGCATGATGAGTTCCGATTGGCTTAGGCAGTCGTATTTCATTGAGGTAGGTTGTGATCTTTCCCTCTAAGTGAGTGTCTGTGGGATGCTTCACTCGACGCACACTCTCCAATCTGACATCGCAAGAAACAATCTACTCCTCTAGTATTGGACCAGTTGGAATTGTTGGAATGGTTGGTATTGTTGATGTTTCCCGATGGCCCACGCAGCTGTGGTTTGTTGGTGGTATGGCATATGAGTATTGTCCTTTGTGAAGCAATTTGTGGATGCAGTTGGATTTTGAACATTGAGTCCTTGCTTTCCTGCCGTTGGGCGACAGAGTGAGTGTCGAACGCGTGCCAGAAGAAGCGTCGCTGAGAAGGGAGGGAGGGAGCAGGGGAAGGGAGGGAGGGGAAGGGAGGGGGAGGGAGCGGGAGTGGAGGGAGGGGAAGGGAGGGAGAGGAAGGGGAAGGGAGGGAGGGAGGGGGAGCGAGGGAGGGAGGCAGGGAGAGAGAGAGAGAGAGAGAGAGCGCTTGCCTCGGCAGCCGGGCGGGCCCACACCCCCAGGAAATTCCAAAAACCTTTCAAAGCAGGTCCCAACCAAATCCCCTTTTGTAATGCAAGCGACCAGTCTGTGGTCCCAAAAACGCCAACAATGCTTGAGGCTGTGTAGGTCGCGGGAGGGCAGGGGTGTCCAGGAAGGGTTTCAGGGGGTTGCCATGCGATTTTCGGGAGGTTTCGGCGGGGGGGTTTCAGGGAGGTTCCATGGGGGTGGTAGGGGAGGGTCCAGCAGAGGCCCAGATATGGTTTGATCTACACTGAGCTGGGCGAGGGAGTGAATGTCGATCGCGTGCCAGAGACGCAACCTTTGCCCTGCAAGTCTCTAGGTATCACTTTCAGCCTGAGATGCACGCCCTGGAGTTCCGGCTGTCAGCACCCCATGAGCCGCTCAAGCGCGAATTGGTGCTAAACTTTTTCTCGGACTTCGGGGGTGCAGTTGGATGATGTGGAGGGCCCTTCTGAGAGCAGGGACTTGGTTTACGGGAGCAGAGGGCACTTGGTGAGAGCCCCAAGTTGTTTTGCCGCGCAAGGCTACAGGCTCTTCTCTCAATTCAGCAGGACGCCCTCAAACATCGTAAACCGATGATATCCTACAGCTGTACCCATCCCTGCCAACGCCCCAGACATCCCCAGACTAGATCTCAATACGCAGCACCTGCAGGTTTGTCACGACAACGGATGGATCTGCCGGATTCTTGGTGGTTCTGACAACTTTGTGTATCCGTGCCTTGACTGCCTTCCTCCGAATTTTCCGAGCCTTGTGCTAAAACGCGTTGCGTCTTCAAAAGGTTGTTGTACCATGCAGCGCCGGCGCGCTGCACCTGAAACGTATGCAATGAAGCCACAATGTCGACCTGTGTTGAGGTCAGCTACCCATCAGGACATGGTTTCCATGAGTTAACCTGCACACCAACAGTCATCCTTTGGTTATGCTGAATGGGCAGGAAGTGCCCGACATAGCGCATCCCAGAGTTAAACTGAGTCTAGCTTTGGCGTGGAGGTGAAGCTTGGAAGTATGGGGAGCGGGCGTTGCGCTCCTGCCACTTGCCTCTTGTTCGCACTGACATAATAGGCGGATTCATGCGCGGCCCGGCGCCTCCTGCGGCCCGCGACCCCCTGCGGCCCGGCCCCGGTCCCGGTAGTTCCCTAATGACTCAGGAACTTAGGCCACGCTGTGGCGGCCTTGGATGCAGCCTGCGGTCTCTTCGGCTGGAGCTTGGAGGAAGGCTGGGAAACCTTGGCTGTTTGAAGGTGTCTGGCATGTTTGGAAAGATGGGTCTTTCGACTTTGGACTTTTCATTCGGGTCGTCGCCTTCAAATCTATACCCAGGCGTGAAGACAAAGCGACCTCATTCAGCCAATAAAACCGGTACAAGCCTCGTCTGGTTGTCGGACTCGTGAAAGACGAAGCCCACAGCCCTTGAAAATCAACATCAACCCTGACATCCAGGTCCGCCAGCGCTGCGTGCTGAAAGCATCCTTGGGACTGCCCCATGTCTTGAGAGGAATTTGCAGACTAACTTCAGCCGCTGTACAAGAGGGAGCTGAAGAAGGCAAAGCGCAAACCAGACCATCAAAGGACCCCAAGCGGCCCCCAGAAGCCCAGTCTGAACACCCTCGAGCCTAGAACACATATTCCAATAATACTCACATGTCACAACACAGCGCACACACATAAACATCGCAGACGTCAGTACATATCACTTCTACTGTCACTCTCAAGAAACAAAGAGCCCTGTAAATCTGCAGGTCTTGGGGCTCCCCGCGGCGGCGGCGGCGCGGGCGGAGGAGCGCGAGCGTCCCGAACTGGCGCTCTTCGTGCGCACCGCCCCGAGGCAGTCCAGGGTTGTCTCCCGGGTTCTCATTGTTTTTTTTGAAAGGCTTCTTGGCACAGTTGGAAGAGATGTTTTCGCACGGGGAGAAGCGAAAAAGAAATGCCTTTGCTTCCAGGTTGTGGTGTAGGGCAATTGGCGCTCTGAGGCGCAAGTTGCGGCCAAGGCTGCTGCGAAGTACAGAGCGAAACTGGTACTATTTTGCATGTTGTAGTTAGCTTCCCAACGTGCTTTCTGCCGCAGCGTGCGAATATGTGTTCACTGCCAAGGTCTACGCCCGCACCAGTAATCAAGACCCCTTGCATCCTGAGGGTTTCAGAAGCTGCTTCGGCATGGCCCGCTTACTTGACACCGGAGAACATTCAGAACCTGTGCCTCAACAAATCTCAGCAGGAGCTGTTTGCATCTTTCAGCCATGATGGTGTCTGTGGGGTACTTATGGCTCTAATGACATCGTGTGAGCGGATTCGACAAGTCCGGCGGCCACAGCCATGTCCCGTTTTCATGTCGGTTGAAGGGAGTTCATCTAGGCTGCATCTTCATCGAGGGCATGTGCGTGGACCCCTCAGGCCCGAATCGCCAATTTGGATCACATACCTTAGATATCTTAGATGCCCAGGTACTGGGATATGCAGATTGAAGCGCTCGGGGTGCCTGGATCCAAGAAGCACAACTCGCTCGAGAGAAGCGCGATTGATCCTAACCCTCAGCAAATGGTGATGATTCTCCTTCATGGCAGGTTGAGCTGTGCAACACGCGGTGTGAATCATTGACGCAGTTCAGCTGGGCACATCAGAATAGCTTTAGCTGGCTGATTCAGAAGCAAAAAAAAGCGCCAAGCCCTAGAGCGCCAAGGGTTCCAAATAGCTTGAGCACCAGGTGCCCCGAGCCCTTCGGCCGCAGTCACCTGCCACGGCAGCCCACTGGCCGGCCACTGGATTTCACAGCCATACGTTCGATGGACCCTCCACCCTGAACCATCTTGTTTCTTGCGTCTTGTGGGGTGCACAGGGCTGCATGGTTCGGAACGCTTTCCTGGGCTTGCCGGTTTGCGGTTGCTGATGTTTACCACTGCTGTCTTTTAATTTTCGAATGGCATGGGTGCATATGGGTGCTTTGGGGTGTTCGCTTCCTCAAAAGCAGGGCTTGCTTCGATTCTCACTTTTCGCAAGCATACATCAACCAGCACAACACAAGGTTAGAGGCCACAACAGAAGGTTTTTAGGCCCAATCCAAACTTTATGTTGTCGATCGTCTGTGAACATGTTTCTTTGCTTGGCCATGTGTCTCCTTCCCTCTCCTGAAGTGGAACCCGACCCCCCAAAGCCCCGACCACAGCCCACAAAGCCAGCAGCCAGAAAGGAACAGAAAGGAACAGAAAGGAAGAGAAAGGAACAGAAAGGAACAGACAAAACGTCCACCCATGAATTTGTTGTGTTGGCCCCCCAATGGCCAGTGGCACAGGCCATGGATGCAGCAGAAGCCGGCGCGACCATGGCCTCGGAGGAGGCGTCCCCGAGAGCTGCGCCTTTCCGCCTTTCTTTGGACCCATTTTGCAGTGGTTTGGGGGATGCGATGCGCAAGAAGGGGCCTTGGTCTTAGCAAAAAGAGTCCAGAAATCAGAAAGCCTAGGGGCCCTACGTTTCCACAATTAAGCTGTAGGAAGCCTCCAAGACCCACTTAACTAGCGGAACTAGCGGCTGTACAAGAAGGATCTACAAAAGAGAGATCCCCGGCGTGAGCAAGTAAGAGACCCCTTCCAGGACCAAGAAGAACACAGCGATCACCCTGAAGCATGGCGAAACCTCTTTGCGAGCCAAGAGGCCGATGCACCCTGGCGGCCCATGGAGCACCTTTCGTTGATGCTTGGCTATGCTTGGCCAGGTTTTGGATTTGGATTTGGTTGGGGGGATTTGGGGGGTGATGCTCCTGGTTTGCATGGTCTCAGGCTTCTCACTTGGGCGTGAGAAGAGAAAACAAGTGCCGCGTTGGTCATGGCTCTCTCTTGACGCGACCACCCCTTGGTTAGCAACGTACGCCTCAAATTTTCGTTCGGGCTCCAGGGCAGGTAGCGTTGTAAAGTTCCCATCTCTTATAACCTCGCTTTGCAGGCTCGCCCTGGAGTAGCCATAACAGAAAAAATGAAACATGTCAGGTGTTTTCTCCCTGGCATGCTCCCCCTCTCTCTCTCTGCTTTCACTCCGCTACCTCTGGCTTCCCTTTGACTTGAGAATCCTGAGGCATCATCTCCTCGGCGACGGGCTGATGCAAGCCATCCTTGGCCGGAGGCACAAAACGCTTGTCACTTTGGCTTAAGGCCTTGCTGCCCCCAAACGTGAAGTCCTATTTGTTGCTTCGGCTCAGGCTTTCGGGGG